TGGAATTTTGCAAATGATAATCAATTTGAAGCTACATGATAATTTGATTTTTGACACCATACCATCACATCCATGTTAGGTTAATTCACTACTTTTTGCTTTTATTTTGCACTTTTAAGACATATTTATGTTTTCAACTGCATTTAAAGCAAACACCAACTGTTTCATTCATATCTTACATCATACCATTATAGAAACATTTTAGATTGTAAATTAATATAAAAAACCACCACAAAATAAGTAAGCGGGCATTCATTGTTTACAATTGCAGCACCGTATTAAAAATGAAAGCCACGCTAGTGAATGGCTTTTAGTCAGTCTAATGCATTTTTATGAATGATGCTTCCTGTTCCATGACAGAAAAACTTAAATGGTATCTAATACTCCTAAATTTCTCTTTTTCTTCTGTGACTATCAACTTATAGAGCATAGTGTCAAACTTTTTTGCTTTCTAATTACATTTTAACCATTTCCTCACTTCCTTCCCACTTTATTTTGCTCTTTACTTTTCAAAATATGGTAATAATGAATATAACTTTACAGATTTAGACTTTTAGAAGATATGAGTGTGCTTTATAAATGCAAATTATGCATTTCAAAATAAATATTAAAAAAGCAGTATTGTACTTAATGTAGACTTAGTTTTACTAGCTATTCCCAAAAAAGAGAAAGTAACATTCATTATACGAAGTAAATAATATTCATTTTTCAAAAAACGAGAAAGCACGTTAAAATGCTAAATGATGCATAACCTTTTTATGCTTGCTTATAGGTAACAAATGTAGCAACAAACTTCAAAGTCATTCGTGTTAATGGTCGGAAGTGAAGCAAAGAAATGCATTCTAAACTTTTTTTTTGCTCATTGACATGATATTTGATTTTTTTTTTGAAATACGGTGAGCATGTCGACTTTCCTTCTGCACTTGGATGATCTGTTAGAATGCGTGTTTTCTTCCTCTGGTAATCAATATCCATTTCACATCTATAGAAATAGTTTAAGCAAATGGATGATTTAAATATAAAGACATACTTGCAAGAAACGGGAAATTTTTCAAAGCTTAGAAAAATCATACCGTGACTGCTGAAGAATGTGTGGTACTCAAGATAGCTCAACAAGAAAAGGCAAAGAAAATATCAAAATAATGCACTTTATGCTCTAGTTCATCAATTTTTATTCTGCTTTTCGATGTAAAAATTTTGAAGCATTAAATTTTTTTTGATTTTTTCTCAACTTCGAAACAAAGAAGGAGTTTGTAAAAATCCGTTATGAAGTTTAATGATGAAATTTAAAACGGTAAATCATCATAAATAATAAAAACTTCAATTTGAAATGATCAGTAAATGCATTATTTCTGCTTCTATGTACTCATGAATCAAATGAGTGAATAAGCTTAACATCCTAGCTCGTGAGTTCCCTTTAGCACTAATAATTTCACATCTTCGTACTCTCGAGATATTCAATGTCATTAGCACACGCATGTTATGAATAATTCATTACATGAAACTGTATACTTTCTTTTACACGATGCAAGCAAAGCCTACTAGCCATATGCTTCAACCAATTTCACTTTTTCTTTTATTTCGTAATTAAAGAAGTCTAGTCTAAGCAATCTATACAACAATAGAACTAACAATTTGAAAAAAGTATGATGGCTTCTCATGTACTGACAATGGTAAAGACTTTAAAAAAAGAAATTGAAGTATAAACGAAATGAAACGAACTATCTCCCTGATAGTAAGTTACATAGCAATCTTATCATTAAAAATGTTTTACTTCCGTATGTGAGAAATTAGCCACATTGCTCTTGTTTTTCTAGAAATTTTTTCCCGCCTTCGCAACAAAATATTTCTGCATGATCTGTTACAAAAATGTTATGAACCAGCAATAAAATGGCGTTCGTATCATCATTTCATCTTTCTTCTACAAACTAACATGCTTATCAAGCAAAATCTTGAGTTTTCTTACTATTCTTTTCACACGAAACGTTTCTTATTTTTCATTTCGCCCACATATTACATATCATTCCCGCAACTGATGAATAAAGATATTATGAAGTTGGCATGGCGTGATGCGTCGCTCTCAATAGCATGAATGATTGCTCTGAATTACACATAACTTTTCCCATGCAAAACAATTCGAAATACCGTGAAAAATCTTGAGTTTTCTTACTATTCTTTCCACACGAAACATTTCTTATTTTTCATCTTGCCCACATATTACATATCATTCCCGCAACTTTCATTCTTTTTATTTATCTGAAGTACTATTGTACCGTAGTTAACAACTTTATTGGAAATGGCTGTACTTATTATCCTTTAAAATTGCTTGTAATGAGAAATAGGTCATATATCTGAGTAATACAAAATTATTCAAGATGATCCATGGCAGAAAATTTTTTTCTGTAAGAACATTTAACGAAATATTCCTTATGATTTGTTGCAAAAATTGTACTCAGTCAGCAATAAAATTTTATTAGTAATCTTTATTTTACGTACTGTGGTTTCGATGTAAGAAATGATATTTGTAAACAGTGGAACACTTATGACACGAAACATTAATTGACTAAACTTTTTCATATCCAAAAGCAGACAAATACCAGTAGAGAATTATATATGGATAAAACTGTTCAGATTCAACACATGCTAGCAAAATTCTATTACTAAATGAAAATTTGCTTAAAAATGAGAAAACACGTTACTATATCACACAGTATGATCATATAATGTAACTGATAGTTCATTCTTCTCATACAGATACAAACAGAATTTCTTAAAAGCAAAATACATTAACTAGAAGAAGAAATTATGGAAATACTGTTTGTACTAAACATATATGCAGTAAGTTTACGTATTTTTAGTACAAACTAAAGAAGACAAATATGAATACAGAACATTTGAACTTAGCAGATTGATAACGTACTAAATCAAATTACTGTACCAAACGATGCTTTAAGAATTCTATCTCAACAAGACACAAGCAACATTACATTTGTAATTTTCAAAAAAAAAGTCAGTACAATATTATCGACATGAAAAAGCAAGTGACATACAAATTCTATCGTAGTGAAAAAGGACAGCAGCAAAAGTGTAAATTATGGGTCTTTTAATGGACAATTATTTAAGATGTGCATATGGCAAAAAAACAAAAATATATTAAAGATTGATACGAAAGATTTTTTCTTGCCAATGTCGAGAAGGTTATGTAGTAAGTTCGGTACTAAGTAGGGATTGAAAAAAAAATTCGAATAAATCGATTAAAGTTGTTGCAAGGGTAATATTAATATAACGTTCAAAAAACAAGCAATTCTGCAATATCATTGAAAATTATAAAAAGAGATGATATTTCTGAATATTAAAGTTTCACAAAATGTAATACAATTGACCAACAAAACATGATAATAAAGTTTTGATATGCTCAAACTGATAGTGTTCTACCAATCATATATCGCTTACAGTGATTTATTCCATTTAGCAATAAAAGTTGGAGAAAAGTTCTTAAATAAATCATTAATCGATAAAGTTTCAATGATCTGTGGTTGAAATGATGCGCTTGCAGCAATTTTTTTATATGATGCATACGAATTCATCGATAGCACTGGTCATGTCATGCTTTATTTATATTTAAAATGTTAATCTCAAAAACTTCAGTAAATCAAACTTTATAGAGATATAGTATGTAGAATTCATTTACTTCTCAAAACCCATTATTCTGAGAAAAAAATTAAAACTAAACTAAGCAAGAAACACCCCCAATTATATTATGTAAGTAGTGCATAAAATGTTAAAGATATGTTGATGCGGAATTCGAAGTTTGTGGGTTTAAAATTCGTACAGAATGGAGAATATTTGAAGATTTCATGTATAACAGAAATGACGTCGTTTGCGTGGGTTTTTGTTATGGTCTTTTCGTATGAGAGCTCGATAATACATGTATATGCATGTATACTTTCCTTTTAATGTTTCATACTGTTTTGATACTACTGCAGTAGAAATAGTTTGAATGAATCAATATAAGTGGTTGCGAGGGCGAGGCAAGGACTATAAATATGGCAGTAAATGTTTTTCGCTTGGCATTAAGCTAAATGTTAAGTGAATGAATAATTTTTCTCTGTTTCAGAATGATTACTGCTTATTAATAACTAGAACAAAGAGAGAAGGAATCGAACGACTCCAATGACTGTTGCGTATTCCAGTAACCAAATGGTAGCATCCGCGCATGATTTTTCACCTACGGTGTCCGAAGAGGACAGATACTCCCAGTCTACAAGAGGTTATTAATTCATATAGTTACTATAGTGGTATAATCACAATAATGAAAATATTATTTTAGGGTAAAATGAAACTGCTGAATGTCCAGTGTTCCGAGACGAGGCATATTTCTCACTGTTAAGGAGTAATTGTATGGTTATTGTAATTTCGGTCGGGTTTTTTGTCAAGAATGGAACGCGCAGAATCTCACTGAAGCCTTTATAGTACATGGAGTAATGGGTATAGTATAGAACACAAACTCCATAATTATTGTTTGATCATTTTAGTGGCAATTGGTCAATTAAAAAATTTTTATTAAAAAACAGTTTAGCATTCACTTTTCATCAATCGTTTTCAGTGACTACAAATGCAAACGTTCATTTTGGTGGTAAAAGTAATGAGACTGCGTACAACCAAGATCTATCCGTGGGCAATGAGGTCTGTCAGTTTCGCCCCGTGCTATCAGTGCATTCATTTATGGAGAATCCTGATAAGGTTATTTTTCTTTTACTTATTGTACATTAATCAGTTCGTCAGTAATTTTATGATTACATGAAACTAATTGGTGACAACAATAAACGGAACATATTCGAGACAAACTTGGTAAAATTTTGGGCACACCAATTGTTTCCTTAATAGACGCATACCATATGACCTATAAACCAAATCTTTATTTCCACTCATTTAATAGGTTTAAACCTTTGTAAAAATTTCAAATTTTTCGTTTCAATTTTTAGATCCAAAAATCATCGATTGCACAAAAGGTAATGCTACAGATGTTAAAAAATGGGATGAGGCCTGTTAAAAAAAGTGCTATAGATTTCTTTTTTCTGCAAATATTGGGCGAGGGATGCTTCTCCACGGTAAGAGTTTTCTGAATTTATACTCCTCTTATTCGTTGAAATTAATACTATGTCATATTATCTCCAGTATTGATTGTTTAGGTATATCTAGCACGTGAGGTCTCAAGTGGTAAAGAATTTGCTCTTAAAGTATTAAATAAGGATCTAATTCGCCGGCATGAAAAGGTGTTTGATTATTAGTATTAAAAAATTATTTTCTTGTTCGAGAGCATTCATATACTCTCAAGTTTTTCACAAAAGAGTTTTCGAGGTGAAAGCTTTGATCGCATGATTATGATATCATACCTTTTTTAAGGTAGTGTCAGTTATGCGTGAAAAAGATATAATGACTTCACTAACTTATTTGCATGGTGGGCATCCTTATTTCGTTTCATTATACTGCACTTTCCAGGACTCGACTCGTCTTTGTAAGTATTTCAATACTGTTTTCTTTGCCTCTTCTTATTTTTCAGGATAAACTTGTTCTTTTATTTCAGATTTTGCTATGACCTATGCCAAAAATGGGGACTTATTGACTTATTTACATCGACTTGGTTCTTTTGATGAAGATGTAAGTTACTCTTATTAACTACTAACGCGAGAAACAAAAATTTTCATAAATTCACATACTTTATTTTACTTCTGTATTAACTCATTGATATTTAACAGGTAACGCTATTTTATTCTGCGGAAATAGTAAGCGCCATTGATGTGCTTCACAAATGTGGAATTATTCACAGAGATTTGAAACCAGAAAATATTTTGCTGAGGGATAATTGGCACATAATGTTGTCTGATTTCGGTTCATCTAAATTCATTGATCCAGAGAAAAGTAAGTCCAATTAATGGATAATTCTTTCTGTGGTGAATTTTAGGTTAAATTTTAAAGTTTCAGATGAAGCAGGTACAAAAAATGATATTCACGAGGGGCATTATCGTAGTAGATCGACATTTGTTGGCACTGCTCAGTATCTTTCACCAGAAGTACTAGTAGATGGAGTAGTCGGTCCATCGTTAGTTTTATTGCATTTAAATTGTTCTGAATGTTGTGGCCAATAAATCTTCATCAATATTTTTAGATGTGATTACTGGGCCTTAGGTGCCATAATTTTTCAAATGGTATCTGGATTACCACCATTTCGTGCTATCAATGATTATCATACTTTTCAAAAGATACAAAAACTGGATTATAGTTTTCCAGAAGGTTTCCCTGAACTTTCTAAAGATCTGGTACTAAAACTTTTGGTGCGTATCTTCATATCCGTATTTTTCAACTTCTGAGTGTTTTAAGTTTGATAAATTTTTTATAATCTGTTTTTTCACTCTAATTTTATGTGAATTAGGTACCCGACCCAAATCAACGTCTTGGTTCAGAAGAAACAGGAGGCAGTCTTTCGGTCCGCTCACATCCATATTTCGCTACTGTTGATTGGGAAAATTTAATTACAAGAACTCCACCACCCTTCAAACCATACATACCTGCAAGTTCTGGTGAACCAGCCTTTCACAGTGATTATGATTTTCCAAGTGATATTGAACCTGGTCTTGATGATGCAGCTGTTACGCGCTTACTAGGCCTTTCTCTTAGAGATTTCAATTCTTCCAGGTATTTTTTTAGTAGCATAAAAATATGAGGTAGTGTTCGAAAATATCGGGAATCGTATCATTCTTTATAATAGACTTGAATGGAAGGCGAAGAAACCCGAGTCGTATGAGTCGCATCAAAACAAACTGAGTATGCAACGCAAAGAACATAAATATCACTCGTTTGTGGAGGACAATTTAATCGTTAAAAGTGGATTGTTGGACAAAAAAAAGGTTAGCATTTGCTTTGCTTTTTCATGGATATATATATATATATATAATTAAAAGTTTTTCATTAAACTGTTATTACACATTGTCATCATCAAGTTGAAAAATTTTTGTGATCAGTATCCAGCTTTCTAATTATGTCAGTCAGTTTATTGAGCTATCAGAATATGAGTTTTTGGTTCTCAACTATTATGTGCCAATTATCTATTAGCAAAATGAATTCTAGGGATTATTTGCTCGGCGAAGGATGTTTTTATTAACAGAAGGGCCAAATATATATTACGTTGATCCTATCAGTATGGAACTGAAAGGCAAAATACCTTTTTGTCGGAAGTTGCGAGTTGAAGCAAAAAATTTTCGAACTTTTTTCGTACATACAGTATGTCATTACTTACTAATTCTATTTTTAACATTTTGCAAGCAAAAATCTTAAACTTAACTCTATTTTCAGCCGACTCGTACCTACTACCTGTTTGATCCAGAACGAAATGCAATGGAATGGTGCAAGGCTATAGAAGCTTTGCGTGAACAGTATCTACATGAGTTACCTGAGGAACCAGAATACATAGTGAACAAAAATATCAAACGACGACGATAACATTTTATTGGGGTCTACTGATTATTTATGTTGTGTATGTTAAAATTTAGTTTTCAAGATGGAACTAGAGAAGTTCAGTGATTTGAACTGAATAGTTGATGGAATTCTATCCGAATCCTTAACCTCATATTATTTGTATGACAAAGACCACCTTCATTATTTTCCAAACCATCTTTGTCACCGGTAGATGTTGCTGAAAATATCTATAAAATTTACCACTATCAGTTTAATCATCAGTTAATTTGGCAATCTTAAAAGTTTGTTGAGTATGAATTTTCACTAAACTTTTGAAAAATTTGATCAGTTTTTCATAGCTTCAAGAAAAAGTAAACTGTCATTAAAAGAAAAGTTAAGTAACCACAAGAAAAATGTTGCATTAATTTAAGATTTTTGTCTTTGTATTATTACTGTAAATTTTATAAAGTCTCATTTATCTTACGTGTGAATTAAATCTTTGCTAAATTTTATTTACGTGTTAGTTCGACCAATTCAGTCGAAAGTGTTCTTTTTGTATACATATCTCCTATTTCGTTTTTACGGATAATTGTTCTAGATATGAGATTGTTTCTGATTCCTTTCATTGCTTTTCTTTGTCTTGCTATAGTTTTGGCTGCGAACTAAGTGGGAGTTCTGGTTTGTGGCAAAAACTTGGGTTTAACGGTTTTTTTTTTTGCTGATCTACTTAGATAGTATAGGATTGCGAATGTTCCCCGTAGCATTCTAAAAATATTACGCAAATTCTAAATATTACAAACTAGGAATTGTTTGTCATACAAACCTGTACCTGACACTAGCTCAATTAGTTGTATTGATTTATGTCCTTTTATTTATTTTGCGGGAAAATTGTGATAGGAAGATCATATTTTTTCTTAGCTTGCCTTTTATATATATATATATTGATATATGTACATTTATATTTATATATATTTATATGATTGTATATATATTTATATATGTTTATATGATTGTATATATATTTATATAGATTTGGAAGTGAATAAAACAGTTTCTTTCGAGTTTCACATTATATATAT